AACTGTATTTCAGTTCCATTTTATTTAAGCGCATTCCATTTAGAAGTTGCATGAAGACTTTTTAAATGAAGGAAGGGCTTTCCATTCTAGCCCATGATGATGCCATTTGGTCAGTTGCCTGGGGGACAAACAAGAAGGAAAACTCCGAGACAGTGGTTACGGGATCCCTGGATGACCTGGTGAAGGTCTGGAAATGGTGAGTGCCCTCTCCCCTGATGGACAGCCTGGGAAGTTGGGGTTCCTGGGTTTGCGTCTGGGCTCCAAGTTGCAGATGGGGAAGTATTCACTCTTTTCTGGGCAAGAAAGGAATCACGGTGTGGGGGGGTGTAAAGGCAGCGTGTTCCCTCACTTGTTTCCCTATTAATTCAGCGTCAGGGCCCTCTAGTTAAAAACAAAGCGCCATGGTTAAAACTTGGCCGCCTTTGCTGTCCTGTGGCTTCTTCCTCCGCGGGCCCCGAGTTTCAGGTGCCAGGTCCAGTGTGTGAGGAAATGCGTTTCTCTGTCCCCCACTGAAGGTGTGACGAGAGGCTGGACCTACAGTGGAGCCTGGAGGGACACCAGCTGGGTGTGGTGTCTGTGGACATCAGCCACAGCCTGCCCATTGCGGCTTCTAGCTCCCTGGATGCTCACATCCGTCTGTGGGACCTGGAGAACGGCAAGCAGATAAAGTCTATAGATGCAGGACCTGGTAAGAGTTTCACTTCTCGGGGCGACGACAGGCTCACGGTTGCTCTTCAGAACCTGTCGGGAGGGGCTGTCACAGTTCAGAGTGTTTGGGATTTGAGAGGGGTAATGTGAGTGAACTGTGGGTACGTGACACCTTCGGTGGGTCTGGGCAGCACTCTAATCACACTCCAACATCAGCAACTAAACCTGAGCATTGGTACCGAGAGAAGTGAATAGAGGCTCTAAGTAGCCTTACGTCGGGCCAGGTTAGGCTTTCCTGCCAAATGAATTTTGGTACCAAACTCATTAGAAAACAGGCAGGTCTCATAGCCTTTGGGTTTCAGAATTGCTGATT